CTGGACGTGTCGTCCTCGGACGAAGATGTGCCGCTCGAGCCAGCACAACGACATGCCCCGCTAAACAGATGGGCCCAACGGGACGAAGAGATCGACGGAACCTGGACGTGTCGTCCTCGGACGAAGACGCGCCGTTCGAATAGGCCGTCCTCAGAGGGTCTGTAGTTATGTAACATATAGAATACATGCTCGTTTGCGCTCGTACAGAAAAGAATCGGCACGCGATAGTTTAACTGACGTTGCGAATCGCGGAGACTTCCGAGGTTTGGCAGATATAACGTCGGCGTCCGACCGACAAAGGAAAACAGAATGCCATCGACACCCCAGAACCCCGTCAAGAAAAGGACCAGGGCGATTATCGTCTGTGAGCAATGCCGCAAGAAGAGGAAAAAGGTAAGCATTGCCTTGACATCGACGGCCGCCGTCACTGAACCCCGATAGTGCACTGGAGGCGTACCTACCTGCAATCGGTGCAAACTAGGGCGGAAGACGTGCATCCCTGCCCAACCCGCAAGAGACGACAAGATGCAAGCAAAGGTCCCGTGTTTCGAATGTCGAACCTCGAAAAAAAAGGTATGCGCCGCCCACTCGATGTCTGCCGCTGTAGTTGATCCAAAGAAAGTGCACCGGGCCAGTCCCCACGTGTGATCGATGCACAGACCGCAACGCGATATGCATAAAGCGCATAGACGGTAGACATGCAGCACGCACAGACCTAAAACTCCCCCCCATTCGTTGGAATGTACCAGAGGGTTAAACGGTTTGCGAAACGACTCAGTCCCAATATACGCTATGATCACTATGTAGATAGTCAGCGCACGGTGAGGCGGGAGGTCCCAATATACGCTATGATTGCTATGAGCGCACGATGAGGCGGGGTCCGCCAAGGCTAGCGGATCGGAGCCGACAGGCACATGGATGTACTGATAGAATAGTTTATTTGACATGGCTGGCGATGCCCAACTTCTCCGTGCGCCAGAAGCATGGGGCTAAATCTGGAGGCCGAAGCGGGCTTTATATACCAGCCTCGTCCAAACCTGCCATCAAAATGACTTCTGTTCCCAACCCCCGTGTCGTCGCCGGGCAGGCGGTGCCCCCCAACCAGGCTGCTCAAGGACACCACCAGCTCGTGTGCTACATGCAAGGACAGGCTCCCCAGATCCCCCAAAACGCGACCGTATACGTTTTTAATATCACCGTACCCGCCGCCGCGCCACCCAACAACCCTCAGGTGGCCGCAGAAGGCGGCCCACCCGACGAGGACGTGCCAGAGGAAGAGGAACCCCCCAAGAGGCGTGGGTACGCAACAAGCTGCGCCCAATGCCGCTACCACAAACCGTCGGCGAAGAAGGTAGGTTTTTCGCCCCATGTCTCTCGATCCAGACTCAGTTTCGACAGTGCACAGGAAGAGTACCGACTTGCGATTATTGTGATGAAAAGGGGCAAAAGGCAAGTGCGCTAATGCTACACGAGCCTGTACTAATTCGTATCACAGGTCATCGGCGCCCAGCCCTCGAAGCACGGCCTCAAGGAGGAACGCAGTCCGTAACGCCGGCCCCAGCACCCGCGCCGCACACACCAAGGCGTCGCGGGGCGCAAAGGTACCAAAGTTGGAAGCAAAGGGTGTGAGGAAGACGCGGTCCAAGGGGAAATTTTAGAACAATTTCTGTAATTACTATACCGGGCCGGTTCGCAACTCCGCTCGAGTCATTGACCCACGCTTCACGCCTTGCTTCACGCCCCCACCGACGAGCGTATCCCGTCCCCTGCCAGATAAACTCACCGCAGTATCAGCGGGTTCCGAAATCCGACAGCACTCAACGTGGACGCAGCCCCCAACGTTGCCACGATGCTCGACCTATCCTTCCCTCTATCCTTCGTAAAATCCTGGTGGAGAGCACTCGTCACAGCCATGTCCTCGATAACGACCAACGAAGAAGAAGAGAAGAGGCTCATCTGGGAGCTCGAGGAGCGAAGGATAACTGTTCAGAAGTGGGAGCGCGATATCGCCAACATTGAGCTGCTCGATGGAAAATATCCCAAGCCCGCCCTGTTCAACAGCTTCATATATCTAAAAAGGGATAACATCGTCGGCCACGAGTCGGTCGTACTCTCCTCAACGGACGTCCGACGTGCCAGGGCGGTTGCTGAACGGAGCTTCTCTGGGATCGTACTGGTTGAGTACGTCCAGAAGGTTCAGGTACGCGCTCGACTGCGATTGTCTGCCCACCGCCTCATAAAAGTGCTAGGATCCCATAGAGCGCGAACAGGCAGAGAGAATTCGCCAAGGCGTCGACGATGCCTTCATCGCGGCCGTGAACGAAGTGAACGGGATGGAGCCCGCGACCTCGGGTTTCTCATGCTCCGTGGTATCCGATATATCCGAACTCCCATCGTCGAGCGGATCGAACCCATTGGACTACTCCAAGTCCTCTACATCAATCTTGCCTGCAGTGGCGACTGCGCGGCACCCAGCCCTCGACACCGTCAAGATAATAAGCAAGAGCGAAACGGCATGGGCGAGAGCGAACGAAGGAAAGGTGGTGAAAACGATCAGAGTCCCAAACGGCGTCCCATCAGGTGTCGTAGCGCGGCTCCTAGTGGCCATCGCTGAAGAAAAGCCTACATATAGCATAACGGGCGCACAATGCTACTACCTCACGGGGACCTTCATGCGGCTCCTCGAGAGGCTCTACCCCGATGCCGAAGTGGTGGATGGAGAAGCGGTCAGCCACGCGGGGGGGATCCATGCCTCCAGAAAGCTACCCACCATACCGTTGCAAAGCCCCGACGAGAGGACGGAGACAAAGATACTACAAGCCTTTAAGAAGAAGGAGGACGAGCTGGAAAAGGCAAGCAAAATGTCGCCAGATTTACAGACGAATTCTCACCTTCATCGCAGGCGGCGCGGGATAGGCTTGCTAGAGAGCGTGCCCCCTACGAGGAGCTGGAGAGCATAAGGGCGGAGAGGGACAAGCTGAAGCAGCAGGCCCGCAACGAAGACCTCAGGATAGCGGAGACGATAGGCGAGATGCAGCAGGCCCACGAGACAGAAATAGCGAACGTCAACGCCCGCATGGAAGAGCTCTTACGTGAGGCACAGCAGAGACACGAGCGAGAGATGGAAAGCCTCAAGGCGCATGTGGACAGGCTCACGCACGAGATGCAGCAGCCTCGCCGCGACGGTTAGGCTTGAGCGCTCCCATCACGAACTGTATTCTCCAATGCTTTTTTTTTTATCACGAACTGTACTCTCCGACGTTTTTTTTTTACATCTTCTAATGAAATCTCGTTTGACTAAAGAGGGAGCTGGTGAGGAAGAACATACATCGACACGAGCAGTCGATATATTGCGTGCAGAGCGCATGCGACGGACATGGAAACTTGCAGATGCAGGGTAAGTCCAGCGAGGCGACGGAACGAGCAAGCATACCTTGGAGAAGACTCAGCACCTGCAAGTCGTCCGTCACTGTGTTTTCGCGGACAATGTTTTCGACGACAAGCGCAGAGGCGCTCTCAAATATTTCAACGAATACGCTTATATCTGGAGAGGGTCAGAAAGAAAAACAGACGCGAGGCGTTCGCATACCGATCTCGATACCGGTCAACTCCATTGCGACCGCCAGCTCTACTTGCATCATCGCGACGTCCACCTCGAGCGCACGAACAAGGTCTAATAAAGTAAGTACGCGGTTGGGATAAGATAAAGAAAAAGGGATACCGAGGACGAGGGGTGCGAGTACGTGTTCACCAGCAGGGGGGGACTCCATAACGTTTAGAATACAGAACGACTCAGACGGCGCGGGTTTTTATGGTCAATGGACCCTGACAAAAATAAGGTTGTGATTGCGTCTAACGGAATTCTTCGTCAAGAAGTCTACCAAATTCTATCAGGAACGACCAGATCCTTAGCACGGAGAGCTGCGGATCGACGCTGTGCTGGGAGGGATCCACCTGGGACAGCCATCTGGCAAAATCTGGCGGATTCGAAACCCGACTGTCATTGATGAGGCCGTGTTTTCTCTCGTAGCCGCCGGTCCAGTAGAGGTTGGCCATGTACTTGAGGACCTCACCCCGAGCACATCCTTTGCCTGTTACCTTGTCGTGGTTGCTGCGCCCGGTCTAATCTGCATAAGCATACAGAAAAAAGAAATACAAGTGCGCCACGTACACCGATCGGGCAGCAGCACCCGTAACAAATCGACGATGATCTTGGAAAATTGAAACCCTTCAAAGCTGCCAATTTTCCCTCCGGACAAGACTCAGTCGGATGACCACTGTCTTGAATGCGTTTGGTGGAACAATAGAGGCATAACGACCTCCAAGCGGTGCAAAGGTTTGCAAGGGGCGTGCTGACGCGATCATAGAAATGTCTCTCCTGTTGGATGCGCAATGCCCGGTCATACGCAGGTCCGAAGCCAGCATGAGAAGTCGACGGCAGAGTGGCGCTGGGTGCGGCTAGCACACGGTTTGCAGGAATAAAACCACTTGGGGTTGGACGGGCGTCAGTTGGCTTGGAGTAGTCGGGAAATGAGAACTCACCGAGCAACGGGCGCATCCGCAGACCTAAACGACTTGTCACTAAAGAGTCCATCGAGAAGGAGGATACGTACATTGAGGGAAGAGGAGTGGGCGAGCTTGACCTTACAGCGGTGGGCGAGCTGCGGCAGGAGTTGAGTAGAGTAGGCACAAACAGGATGAGGCCTACCTGGACATGAAAACAGAATTAGAGGCGACGACGGTGGGCGAGCTGCGGCAGGAGTTGAGTAGAGTAGGCACAAACAGGATAGGGCCTACCTGGACATGAGAACGGAATTAGAGGCGACGACAGTGGGCGAGCTTGACCTGACGACGGTTGGCGAACTGGACGTGACGAGAGTCGGCGAACTGGGCAGGGTTGCGGTGTCGCCGCTAGGCCCGCTAGCGCTAGCATCAGCGCACGCAACGGGTCCCGCTTCGATGCCTTGCATACCAAACGGATCGACATCGGGAGAATCTGCTCGAGCGATCTTTGAAGGGCGCTCAGGGGTCGAATCAGCCCGAGGACGCTTGACCAACGGAGCGGCTAGAGGTCGGCTTGATAGCGGCGTGTGAACTGATAGCGGGGTCGCCACTGGTAATAGCGCAGCGCAAAGAGGCGCGGGCTCCGAACAGGCCTTTTCACAATAGGCGCAGAGGACGGCGCCGGTCAAGAGCAGACAAGTCACGGCGACGCCGTCAAGGTAGAGACTGGGGATGATGCGCAGGCACTGGTCTCGCTTTTTTGACCACTGGACCAGGTCGTTAAAGCCGAGATCGAAATGGTCGTTGGGGCTGTTGGGGGTGCGGCTCGGGTCGACAAACGTAACCGCACGACACATGGCGCCATCCCTGCCACCACGCGAGTCCTCCTGATACTGGTCGATCATAGAGTGTGAGACGGAGGCGTGAACAACGTCGCGGATGTGAAGATAGTTGAAGCCGCATCCGAGGAACGCCGTTGTTGGCAAAACCTTTTGCCTGCCTTGCAAGAAATCGGCCATCGCCTGCTGATTTGTGTCGAGGCTGTCAGCGTGGAACGGCTGGACACCAAGCGATGCTCCAATACTGTTCGCCTGGTTCTTGGACCTGCAGAAAATAAGCGCGCGCTCGTGCGGCTCATAGGCGCCCACTTTCTCCCGGGTATACGCAATGACCTCCTTGACTATATCGCTGCCTGCAGACCGAATCTCGTACCTCAGCTCCTTGCGGTTCGAGGGCATCCGTATCTGCCTCCAAATGATCCCCGTATTCTGTGAGAACGGCCCAAAGAGCCGCTGCGGAAACGACCCCGAAAGGCCCACAATTGGCGATCTGAGCGCACTGAGCTTGGAAAAATGGGAAAAGACGGGGCGATACCCGCCATCAGTGAGAAGCTTGTGCACTTCATCGAAAACCAATCGGTCCAGTCTGTCGTTGTTTTCCATCTGCTGCAGGTCCCTATACGACGTGAGTACAGATTCAAGGATCAAACGGACAACTTACAAGAAGAAGAGGGCATTGTCCAACATCTCCACCGCAGCCGAAAGAATATCGACCTGCGGACATCCCCTGGTTCTGGGCGTCCACTGCGCATATGTCAACCCATGCTCCTTGGCCCGCCTCTCGAGGTCAGCGTGGAGCGTCGATAGCGGCAGAATCACCACCGTGGTCCTGCCCCCGCCATACATCTTGGCCAACATCATAATCAACATCGTCTTGCCAAACGACGTACCGAGAACGGCCAGGATGTTCTCTCTCTTCGCGGCCAAATGCTCCAGCAACACGGCCTGCTCAGGGCAGGTAAACTCCGCATCTGGTTTCCGAAGGAACTTGCGTAGATCGACGAGACGGGAGGGATGGATGACGACATCGGAGACCGGCCGAAGGTTGCCAGCGTCGAGAGGGACAGGCGGCGGCGGAAAGTAAGTGACCGCCATCTCGGCCATCCGATCTCTAATAGTATCCTTGACCACTTGGTTCACATGGTTCTCGAGTCGGACAGCAATCTGGCGCGCAATGCCGTCCGAATCAACTAGCACGCCATTCTCAGCTTGGTCAAGACAAGAGCTAGGGGAACTTACAGGCGACGAGGGCGTTGGAGGCTAAGAGGAGCGTCAGTGCGCATTGGACCTAGACAAAGAGGACGTACATGTGCTGGGAGATTCGTCGGGGTAGAGAAGCTTGGCCTGACCGATATCGACGAGTTTCTGCCATTCGATGCCTACAGCGATGCAGCCAGCAATGTCGCGCGAGTCCTTCTTGAAGGTGTTGAGGATGCCTCCCCCATATCGAGCAACAGCGGTCGTTGTCGAATGCATGTTGGCAATGTCCGTGTAGTACTCTGCGGATACCTGAGTGAGCTCCGGCTTGCGAAAAGTGGTCGAGAAGCAGGTGAAGATGGACCGCCACGCCTTGATTGTATACTGGCTATGCAAGTATCTGTACGTGACGTGTTTCATCTTCTCCCGCAGGTCGTTGCTGCTCATGTTTCGCGTGATGCCGGGCCAAAGATAGTGTCGGTACCGAGTGATGAGGTCGCTCTGGTTGGGGTAAAGCTGCTCGGCCAGATACGTTTGAAAAGGACGGATGATAACGAGGTAGTGGAGGAGAGCGGTCGCCCACTCGCGAGTGGGTATATGCGGGATAAACATATCCCGATTTCGCTGGTGAGAGGTCTTGTCGTTGGTGGCGTTGATCGACAAATGTTGGAGGACGATGCCGACGTTACGAGGCGCGCCAGAAAGGTCAAACAGCATGAGGCGCGCAAACTCACTGCATCGAACTGAAGGGCCGCAGCTGACGATAAGACCGGGTGCCATCTCGAGCTGGCAGGCCGAGAACGCTTCAAGCAGCTGAATAGACGCCTTGGGACGCCAGAGGAGACGGCCGTTGACATAACAGGTAAAGTACCGCCGGCGCTCTTCATCACCCAAGAGCCACTTTGCATAGCGCGTGCGGTACTGAGTCAGGTTGTTCCTGTGGTCAGTGAGAAAGGAGTAGCCGACGGTGTTGCGATGTAGGTCGTCGTACAAGTCCTCGATTACAATGTCGGGGAAGATGTCATCGGGAATACAGCCAAAGAACGCCAGCTTCCGGAGGGTGTCCATGTAGGTTGCATAATGCCCGTCAACAAGCTCCTTGATACCCGTGAGCGTGATGACGCCCGTCTTGTGCGTAAGCTTGGTTTTCATAGGGTCCGCGAACCAGAACGAATCCCTGTTGTACTCGTTGCCGCGAATAGTCTTGAGCAGCGCATGCGAATTGTAGAGGAACGACATAACGGACGCCTTCTGGTTGATCAGGTAGTCTTTGTAGGCCATCAATGCGCTATGCGTGCCAATCAGACCAGAAAGAAGAAAAGAAAAACGAGACACGCACTCGGACTCATCTGCAATATCAGCTTTGGCCCTTTCAGAAGCAAGGCGTAGGAAGCATCCACGGATGGCGTACTCAATCGCAGAGGCAACACTGGTGATGGTAGACGAGTTGACCGTACTCGAGTCCTCATGGATGCAATGTATAACGACGAAACAGATGACCGGGGAGAAGAACGGACCAAGGCAGCGACTGGCGGGGTATTCGTGCCGCAGGTGCTTGAAGAGAGCGACGCAGGCCTCGTAGAACGCGTCATGCATCGCCGTGGTGTACTCGTCGTCCTTCCACTCCTTGATGCTCGTGTCTAGCAGCTGCAGGGCCGCAAGTTGACTCGGGTCAATTTCGGGGTACTTGTATTTGCTGCTCCACGTTCCGCTGGTGTAATAACGGAGGCATGCAAACATCAGCTTGTGAAGCCCCAGTGCATACTTGTCGGAGCTTTCGATAGGGCGGAAGGCGTGCTCAGTTGTGTTCTCCCTGCATAGCGGGTCAGAGGCATGCATGGACGAAAAAGAGGTGGTCTTACAGTCGTACTGAGCCAAGCAGCTTTTCCAGCCCCACATTTTTTTTGGCATTGAGCAGCACCTGCGTCTGTTCGAGAAAATGGTTAGCCAGACCGCGAAGGCAGTCGCCATACAAGTCGTCAGGTTCGTGCGTCCTCCGAGCCTCATTCAGGTCGGCCGGTGTCATGCCTTGGACGTGTTCAAGCCAGCCGTCGTTCGCAAAGAAGGCCTTGAGGTTGAGGTTGTCGTCGCACAGCGCAATTGGCTGAGTAGAGTAGTCGGGCACAATGGACATGGCGCTCATGATGTCGCTGAGAGGGTCCAGCTCGCCTTCGCTCGCTTTGATGAGCCCGCTAATGTCGACTCGGATGACACGGCTCGTGCCAGGCATCTTCTGACCGTACCCAACCACCTTCTTCCGGCCCTCTGATGCACTCCTAGCACAACCCCGCAGATGATTCTCCAGCGACGCACGTACAGCGAACCCACGGTTACAGTGACCGCAAAAGTCGAGAGGCGACTCGACGAGAGGCAGGCCAAAAATAGGAGCGCACATCTCAGAGGGATAGGTGACGTTGCCCGTAAGGCCAAACGTCTGAACGAGGTCGGCCTGGAGAGTCGGAGGCAGCGCGATGTGCCTGTTGTGGCTTCGGATGTGGCGATTTATGTTGTCAGGCGCGACAAAGGTCTCACATTCCAAGCAGATGACGGCACACAGGAGCGTACTGACAACGATGTTGAAAGGAAGTAGGTCGCAAGGCGAGTCCGTGACGGTGAAGGGGTCTGGTACACGGCGGTAGCTTGCATTCGAGATAGGAACGAGTAGAGGAAGGGCCTGGCTGGGGGCGACAGAGGAGACGAGGCCGGTATCAACGGGCATCGGTGACGGGTCACGAAAGGACTCGGCATCCAGAGGTCCATCACAGACGAGGCGGATGGGCGTTGCGGAGAGTGATGGACTTGCAGAAGGTGCAGCTGCGGTAGGCGGTGCTACTTGCGCAGGGTTCAAAGACGGAGGTGCTGTGTTGGTGTCCCCGTTGCAAGACAAAGCATGCTTCTGAAAGAGATGAGGAGGGAAACGATGCGCATATACGACGCTTACCTTGAGTCCATACGGGTCCTGGTGGGTAAAGGTGGTGCAAAAGGGGCACCGGAAGACACCGGACTGGCGCATGACGGTCGTTCTAGTGGTGGTGTCGTCGATGCTGAATGTAGTCGCCTGCTGGTGCACGAGACGCTTGTGGTACTTGAACGTTCCGGTGACTTGCTTCTTGCAGACGCCACAGAAGAATGTTGAACCAGTAGGCGCGTCATCTGGTGGGAGAGGGGGGTCCATTCGAGGAGAGGGGGGTCCA